ATCATTTATGTTGAGAAAAAGGTGTCCATCAAATTATATCAAAAATAAAAAAATAAAACTTGAAGTACATATCGTCGGGGATAGTGCAAATTCGCGTAACTAGCATTTTATAATACCGCGTATCTACAGTACATTTTTTTTACTGGAGAAGTTTAAAACATCATTTACTTTTTCTTTTAACTGATTTTGAGTTCATTTTAGTAAAAAGAGTATCATTTATATTTTTTGTAATCTCAACAATAAATATTTTGTGTTAAAATTAATAATATCCAAATATAGTAATCAATGCTAGTTACGCGGATTTGGTGAATTATTTTTACATCAATAACGAAAAGAGATTACTATGAGAAAAAAAAAATAAAAAGCTTAATGCGCATATTAAATTTTTTATGCGCACCTTCTTACCAATCGATTCTTGGTCAGCTTATTGTTTAAATTTATTTCTTTTTTAATAATGATATTAAACAACTATATGCTGTAAATTTTAAACATGCCTTTTAATTAAACATACCTCTTAAGTTGCGGGATCTTTCTTTAAAAGATAAGTCAATTAAAAAGGAAGTCACTATGAAATACTTGTAAACTCTTAATAGGTTTAGGTTTATTCATTCATGGTCAAAAATAAATTTTTTTTGACAAAGAGCGGCACACCAGGCCTCTCTGTTATGAAAATACAGTTTTTCAATTTCAGCTCAAGTGAAGATGCCGTAGCAGAGAAAGTTCGTGTTTAAAAATGTTCTTTGCGTCCACCGTATTTTGGGTTAAAGAGTTCTATAATCTTACAATACGGTTGGTGAAGAAGTTGCTTCTTTCAGCGCAGCTTTGGACAAGTTGTGCTCTTAGTTCTTTAATGTGTCTACGCGGCCGAAAACTGTACTTTGAAGATTCCGTGTTAGGTTGAAGTTGAGGGACGTGAAAGCTAACTTTGGTCATGAAAGTCAATTTTGGTCATAATTTTTTATTGTTCGATAAGGTCTCCTTTTTCTCGTCGTTCAGTTAGTGTTGTCAGGTTAAGGCTTGATAGTTTTTGAGCATACAAAAGGTGTTTAAGGGAGGCAATATGTTTTGTGGCTCGGTGATGAACTTGCTCAAGTTTGGCAATGTCTTGAGCTAAAGTCTTGAGCTCGTTATAAAAACGCCTAGGTCTCGTTCAGATGACGTGCATGATAGCTGGTGCAGTTGGCCGTCTAGGTTAATCATTGTATAAATTGCAGTCGATTTTTTTTTTGTTGCTGCGCCCGGTGTGCATGACTTTGCACTTTTTGACATTAAATTGCATGAGCCATGTGTGCAACCACTTCACTGCTTTGTTAATGATTAAAAATTATCTTGATTTTCCTAAAATTAAAATGTTCAGTCAAAAGTTACCAAAAATTATTGCCATGAATTTCCTCATAATACGCAATACGCAAGCTCTCAAATTAATATATTTTGGCCTAATTCCCTGTTTCATCAACTATATCAATAAATTATGGGCATGTACACAAAAAACAAAACTACAAAAAAATTACTGGTTATAAAAATACGCTTGCAGAATCGTGTTCTCTAAGCATAACATAACATGCAAAACCTTTTATGAAAGATTTGAAAATGGTGGATGTATTCAAAAAGAATATCTATCAACATCTGATTTTTATGCTATACTAATTTTAAAAAAATTTTGTAACAAAATTCTACCACACTAGTCGAAAAAAAGCCAGATTATTGTCAGCGCCTAAACTTCCGTATCCCTATGAAAAATTCATTAATGAGAATGCGCTTTCAAGATATTGCTGTTAGAAGTGTATCTTAAGCGTTTGTAGTAGTAAAAAGAGGAAATTTTTTCGATCTATAGTTGCAACCATGTTAGAATTTGTTGAAAAAAAAAGAAAAAGATGCAACCTTACAACAATAAAACCGTGGCAAGAGCTGGTTCGTTCACATTAGAAATGCATTTTTATACCTGTATGAAACAGCAAATCAGAAATCGCTTATAAAACCAGCTGTCGTGACTTATTCCATTAACTTATCATTAACTTGTCGTTGGGGAAAGTCGTATACTTTATTGTTCTTTTATGTCTAAAAGTTTATTTTTTATATTTATTTGGAGATGTTAGTTCATATATAAATTCAACTTCAATTCGTTTTTATATTATTCTAGTTAATTTATATTCTAGTTTTTTTTACTCAAACTTTAGTGCGATGAAACTTTCTCCCTTCTTTACGCTCTTTTGACACATGCAGTTTAAGGGAATTTAAAAAAAAAAAGAACAGCTAAACAAAACTTTTAAAAAACACGCTTTTTTCTATCGTCAAATTTTTCATTTTGCAGTTGCTTTTTTTTAAAATTAGTCTTGGTTAAAACTCAGTTGGCTTAAAGCCAACTTTCTGCTTATTTTCGGTTACTGTAGCAATTGTTGACTAAATTTATTTTCAACATGCAGGAAGTGTACATGCATCAACTTACCTAGATTGGTAGAGCATGAAAGTAGTGCCGCTACATCGATTTAGGGTTTTGGTTAGGCAGACTATAGTTACAGTCGAATTAATTAAATAGACAGAAAGTTGAATTAATTGAAAAGGCCTAGTGTCGCCAAAAAGTAAGAGTGTCGCAAATAGTAAAAAAGGAATGTTTCCAATTTATTTTGATTAGAAAAAAAAAAAATTTTGTAAATTATATACATTTTTGTATTTACATATACCAGCTATAATATATTTAATTATTCTTGAAAAAGAAATAAAATGGTGACATCCCAGTTCAATAATAAATTGGAAACATTCCTTTTTTATTATTTGCGACACTCTTACTTATTTATGGCGACACTAGGCCTTTTTAATTAATTCGACACTATTCCTGTCACTTAACACTCGATAATTCTTTTAGTTTTAGGTGGTAGGCCTATGAAAAATAGAGATTTTTGATCAAAAATTGAAAAAAAAAAAGGAAATATATTGTATTTATGTAAAAATTTATCCTCTATCTGCTGATATATGACTTGTTTAGGTTTGATTAAATTAAAAGTGTTTTAAATAACATATTTTGTTAGCTAGTTTTTTTGTTTACCTTAGCAACGTCATAGCAATGAAAAATTAAGACCATATTTTACCCAAATTAGATGACCAAAATGACAAATCTTGTGAAGCTTCTTTTTCCAATATAATATAGATCTGCGGTGTTTTTGGTCATGCTTTAAAGTTACATTTTCTTATAATAATTGCCATATTAAACTGTTTATATTAGCTGTGGTATAAAATCATTATTTATGAATTTTTCAACTCTTAATTTAAATCAATCAATTTGTACTTGTGTATAATCGTAATAAATGTCTTCTGGAAAAAGCAGCAAGCAAAATTTTTCACGAAAAAGAAAGAAGAAGCCTCCTGTAAATAAATACTCAAAAAAATGTCTTTCAAATATTTCATCAGAAAAAGTTACATCTAGCATAAGTAAAAAGAGGCTAATTATGAATCAAACTAATCTCAATACAATCAGTGAAGTAATAAAACAAGAAGATGATTACTTTTTATTCGTAAATTTCTCTGTACTCAAAAGTGTATTTCAACCTTTGTTAGTATGTCCTGAATGTGGCCATAAAAAAATAACTCTCAGTGATAACAGAAAGAAGAGAAAAGAAAAAAAAAATTTCCCATTATTTAGAACTTTTATGTGAGTCTTGCGAATGGTATAAATCTCAAAAGAATGTAATACACAAAACCATGGTCAAGGTCCTAAAATCTTTGAAGCAAATGCAAGGGCAGTAATTGGTTTTCGTGAAATCGGTAAAGGTTTTACAGCAATGGAAACATTTTCTCAATGCATGAACATGTGTTCTTTATCTAAAACACCATTCTTTTAAAAAACATCCACAATGTGGAGGCCACATTACCAAGGTCCGCAGAGACTTGTTGTGGCTCCTAAAGGAGCGTCATAACCCGCTCTACAGACCGAGAGTAAGGCGAGTTTGTATAGAACAAAGATCTGTTAAAGTCAAAGACAGAAGTAGTCGTGGTAGAAAGATAGCATAGGGAAAGCGAACAGAAGGTGCAATAGTACTGTTAGTCGAACTGACAAAGACTTGAAGTGAACTCTCCCTCAACTTTCTTTTCTTTGTCACTTGATATGAACTCATCGTTAAGTGACTTTGACATCCATTGCCCACCAATCCACTTTAACATCATTTTAGAAATTGTTTAAGAATACTTGTGGGTTGGTATTTTTATTTAAATCTTTTAAAAATACTTTTAATTTTGTTTAATACTAATATATCGCAACTCTTTGTAAAGACGAAAAAGTAGAAAATGAAATAAAGCAAAAACATTTGCTCTAAAATAACCTTGTGTACTAAAAAGTAGAAAATAACTTTTTTGATTTAAATTTAATAGTTTAGTATACTAAAGATATGTTTAGTATACTAAAGGTTTGTTTCTACATAAACCTTGTGCAGACCTCTCAATCTTTAGTTTACTGAACTATTAAATTTAAAAGTTTATTTTCTACTTTTTAGTACAAAAAAGATAATATTTTTGAGCAAATGTTTTTGCTATATATTATTAACATTTTAAAATTGAATAATATAAGCATTTAGGTTCGCGAATAGGATTGAACGAATTTCACAGCTTATAATAAAAAATTTAAACATGTCTCTTGACGTTCTTACTTTTCTGATTTCGAATTTTTACATTTTTAAACAATAAATTTTACCGTTTAAAATGAAATTTATTAAACAAAAAGTTTTTGAAAAAAAAAATCCTAAACAAAGAATAAGCTAAAACGTCACTCAAAACCTTATATTAAAACAATAAGAAATGCCGTAAAGATTTTTTAAATGATAAAAGAAAATAAACTATAATATATTTTTTAAACACTGGCCGTTGCATTAAAATACGCAGTTTAAAACATGCTACCCCCCTCAAAATCATCCTAAAAGTCAACACCAGTGAAAATACAAAACACTGGATTTTTTTTTCCCCGATATAAATTTAAGCTGTTGCATTATTTTTTTTAAACAATATACTGAGTATGAAATATAGAGGATTTTTCTTCGAAAATTCCTACTTACAAAATCTACAGAAATTATTATTCGAAATAAAGAATAAAATGTCATTTTAAAATATTTGTTGGATATAATTAATAAAAAAAGTTTACGAAACCACATTGGAGCTCAAATGAGTGCACCTTATTATTCTTCTTCATTATCGCTGTTGTCGTTTTCTTCAACATCTAACGCCGCAAATTTACTTGTTTGTCCAAAAACCTGTTTTAAAACAAACTAATTTATTATTGATAAATTAATTAAATAAAAATAATTAAACAGACAATTAAAAAAATAACAATTCATCATAAAATTAAAAAAATATACTAACAGGTTTGGCAGGTTCTTCGTATTTTAAAAGAACCGGAGTATCATTCGTTTTTTTTTTTTCAATAGAATTGTTCAAGCGAGGTCCCTTTTTATCACGCAACCCATCATTTTCTTTAGCAGGCTTCATTACTCGTGCTTTTGGACGCAAAGACTCATCCCTCCAATCATTCGCAGAGTCTGCTTCTCCAATTTCTTCCTTTTTCCCTTCTTCACGATCTTTATAATTGGCTCTATGATCGACGTCTCGTTTTGGCGAAAACGGTCTTGGAGATATTCGTCGCGGTGAAGCTCTCCTAGGCGAGGTTCTTCTAGGCGAGGCTCTTCTAGGTGAAGATCTTCTCGGGGAAGTTCGCCTTGGACTTCTAACACCGTCTGGACTACGAGACCTTTGAGGGACTTTTTCGTCTCGCTTTCTATCAGAAGTTTGCATTTGACTAAGCTTTTCTTCAATAAGCTTTTCTTTAGCAGCGGTATCAACAGGACGAGCTTCACCAAATATTGAGGTTTTCTTTGAGGACTCATTAATTGTTGATTCAGTGACAGATTTTGGTTGAAGAACTAATTTTGGTCGTTCTTTTGGCGCATCTTTAAAAATAAAAACACTTTAAATATATTATAATTTTCAAATAAATTAAATTTAAATCAAAAACAAATAACTACTACCTTCGGATGGCGGATATTCATCTTTTGTATCTTTATTTCTCCACACAGCTCCTCCTCTTCCATCATTCTTAAAACTTTCACGGCTATCTCGGTACCCACTGCCTCGACCATCCCGAGGAGCACCATATTCACGAGGTGGACCTCTGAAATCATAGTCATTTTTATTTCCACTTGAACCTGAGTCATCTCGAGGTGCTCTCCAAGGATCTTGACTGCGATTTTCCCTAAATCCACCACTTGGCCTGTCTCTACTGCTATGAGGTATAGGAGGAGGAGGTTCATCTTTCCTCCATTTATCATCAAGATCGGCAGGACCACTTGCATCTTGATGTCTAAAGCCACCTTCTCTACGAGCAAAATCATTGCCTCTAACATCTCTAGAAATAAAAAACGAAATTTTTTTTTGAAATCAAACATTGAATTATCAAATATAACAAACTATAAAAAATTAAATACAACATTAAACTATTAAATATAACAAATTATAAAAAATTAAATTTTTTAAAGTTTTTTAAAAACATTAATTTATCAAATATAACAAAGAAAAAAAATCTAGACTTTGTGCCATTATTATGATCAAGAGCAATTTTTAGGATAATACACGAGTGGACCAAATTCTTTGAACTAGTAGAAATAGGTATAAGTAGCATAAGTAGTCAGTGGCTCACAAAATGAAATCCTTAAAAGTGAGCAATTGTTATAACGTTTAATTTAAAACATTTCAAATAATAAGTTTTATTTAATCAAATAGGAAAAAAAATTGGATCTGTTAGTTAATCATTTTTTTACTAAAAATCATTAACTTAGGAAAAACAATTTTATCTGGTAGTTTGATTCAATATTTTTTAACTCTGCTTGTAAAATAAGTATTTGTCATATTTTACCAGTTTTTATCAAGGTATATGTCAAAATCAAATTTAGTATACAAAGCATCAATTAAATTGTAAGACAAAAAAGCTAGATTACAAATACTTTGTTAAATCATCACTTATTATACCTAACTCCTACAAAGATATCAAAGTCAAAGATACTTGTAAACAATATTTACTTTAAAAAGTTTCAGTTCCTTATTTCTATTATTTAATATTCAAGTTACATTAGCCTCCTTTTGGCAATTGTATTGTTATTAAAGATTTCTTAACTTTATGATTAGATTACTTTTTTTTCCCACTGGGTTTAACAACATTTAACTCCAAAAAAAGGTTTCATAAGCACTTGGAGATCATCTATAAAGAAAATCATACTATTTTTTTCAATATTTGACCCTGTCTTTATATTACAATCCATCTAACATAACTACCACCTCCCCCCCCCCCAAAAAAAAAGGACGGGATGGGTAAAATATCAAACATGCTGTAACTTTATCACATAATTTATATCATAAATTATTTTAAAATTATGGGGAACTTAATTGCTCATATAATGTGATGACAAACATTTCTGTTTTATCAATCATCCTCTGGATTGACAATTTAAAAAATATCAACTTCATGCATCCTCTCTAAATCCCCTCATTCCTCCTCTTCTCAAAACATTAACAACAATGGTTCTCTTGTATCCTAGCAGCTACTCTTATTGATCTAATGAGTTGTGTTTGAGTTATCTCTAGAATAGTGTGCCCTTTATCACATAAATTGTGCCGCTCAACAAGTTTCTTTAATACTGCTTGAGCAGCAAAACAGTGTTGAAAAACTTTGCATATTTGATAGGCCTGCATATTTGATAGATCTTATTTAACAACATTGCAACATTTGTTAGATCTGACAGATCTGTACTGATGGACAAAAGATCATAATGATAAATAAGAAAATTCTCTCTGTTGATATATTAACATATTTTTTGATACCTAATATATTAAGTATCAAAGATTTAAAGACTAAAGATTCGAAGATTCTTAGCCAATGCCTATATACCCCAGTTGATTTTTGTCACATTCCTAAAAACCTCTTTTGTCACACATTTTTGTACATTAATTTTACATGAATAGTAAAAATAATTGATACTAGGGGTGATGAAGGGTGCTTAAATGTCCATATTTTTTAGGATTATTATGATTTATAGAAACTGAAAACCAAAATTAAAAACTTTTAATAGCATTTTTAGAATCAGCTTCTAAAAATCAAGATATTCCCAATAAAATCAGGATATCTGAGCACCTGCATGATACCTTTTATCTCCATTCATGGATAGACCATTTGTTGAAGCTAACTCCCTTCTCCAGTCACCTCCTGTCTTGTCATCTATTTGGTAACTACCTTGAAAATAATTTTGATAAACAATTTTTAATTATATTGGTATTATATATAAACTACATAAAAAAAGTAAACCAATTACACTTTTAATGTAGAAATCCCAAAATAGCAAAAATAGATAAATGGATTTATTACAAACCTTTTCCCATACTGTCTCTACCAGCAGCATCTGCTATGTCTATCCTTATTTGGCGAGTACGAATTTTCTAAAATATACTCTAAAAATGTTGAATTTAAGTCTTAAAAACAATTAATTGAACAAAATATAAAAATATGAAATGTTCATTTATAATGTTAAAGTTACAACAGCAATAAAATATTAAATTAAAACGTTAATCTGTTAGAATTAAAATAATATTTGATTGAAAAAAAACACAACTTAGAATGATAACTTTATAAATAGTTAAACAAAAGAATTTTTATATGTTATGGGAAATTCTTGACTCATTCTACAAATTATCTTTAATTAGATTTTTAAAGTTATTGAATCAACTCTAAATTGCATAAAGCTCAGTTAATTGTCTATTTAATACAGGAAAAACAATTCTTTTAAATCAAGATTAGCTCCTAAGGTTTTTCCAAGACCATGGCCAGGGGCTATTCTAGACCGTTTTCGACAATGGTGCTTAAGTTCAGAAATTGAGGACATTTTTTTTTTTACGGTAAACATCGGTTTTTTTCGCAGAAAAATGCTAACATTTGGCAAATATCTTTACGGAGAGGCGCCGGCATGGAGTGCACAGCTGCTGAAATGTTTTCTTAGAATAGCCCTTGTAATGCACAATAAATATGCGGTTCTCTTTAATTCTGCAAAATTTTTAATGTTGGTGCACATTAAACATTGCTGCACATATGTTTGTGTGCAAAAATGTTTAGAATACAATTTTTTTTTACAATATTTAAAAATTGTAATATATTGTGAAAATCTATTTAAAATAAATGTTTTAAATATTTTTTTTCAACCTATTGAAAATCAAATATATTTTATATAATTAATTATAATATATAATTAAAACATGTATTAAATACTTGAACAATAATTTTATAAAATATTAAATTATTTATCAAACAGTTTCATTAAAAATCTCTTTACCTCATTTGTCAACGCAAGTGCTTGCTTTAATTGATCAATATCATTAAACTCAGCATAACCAAAGCCTTTCATTCTGCCATTGTCCAAAGGAAAACGAATATTCTCTACCTATTAAAAAAAATTCAACACCTCTATGTCAAAGAATTTATTCTTAAAAATAATATTTAAAACGTTTACTAAGTATTTATAATCAAAATTTTTTAAAAAAACTAATAAACATTACAAGAAAACTGATAAAAAAAAAAAAAAAATTAAAAAAAGAATTAATATAATAAAACCAGCAACTATTAAACTTAAGAGTAATTATAATATACAAAAAAAAATTATTATCAACATCATTTTATGAACTTTTTTTTTTGCTGTCTTTTAATTTCCAACTATAATGTTATAAGTTGGAAATAAAAAGACAGCAAAAAAAAAGAAAGATTAAGAGCAAGAAACAGTTGACAGAAGATTTAAAAGACTGGATTTTTTTATTCCAAAAAACATAATAACTGTAGAGAATTCAAAAGCAACAACATTTGGGGAAAAAAGCTAAACGAATAAAGGTTTTTGAGCATGAAAGAACAGTTACAGTAAAAAGATGCATATTGGCTGAACGAGTCGCACTAGAAGTCATGCAAGAGTTTTGGTTAAAGAAACAACTTGAGCAGGAACAATAACATTATCTATAAAAAAAAGACACAACCTTACAATGATGGAACTAAAGCTTGTACAAGAGCAAGTCTAACAATGCATTTTTGGACCTTACTTAAAAGAGAGAGAACCTCATTAGAAAAACCAGCTAAATATGACAACACCATTCCATATAAGGACAAATAAATTTTTTTTAGATATATTAAATAGAATAAGGAGTAAGAAAGTGACAAGCATGAGAAAAAACCTTAGCAGATACTAACTTTAAATACTTTAAATGAGGTATTAGAGTGATTTAATGTGTAATAATGGAACAACCTGTTTCTTTAGAATGACAGAAATTATGGCCATTAAATTCAAGAGTCAAATTAGAAACAAAGTTCATTGCAAATAGTTTTGCTTTATCTTTGTAGAGGTAATAACACTCATTGAGAGATAAAATGTTAAATTTTGTTTTTTTATTAGCATTGGTAATGATATGTTTAGAAACTTACGAGATAAAATAGTTATCTTAGAATAATGGAGTGTAGGGCCATGTATTACTTTTTTTCGCACCAATTTCTTGCAATGATAAAATGAAAATATTCATTTTATAAATTATTTTTCCATTTTGGGTGTACACCAAGGTAATATTTAGACTAAGTATCTCATTTTGTTGTCATAAAGGAACTTTTACTAGATGATTGCTCTAATTCTCCACATTAACACTGAGACTGAATGTAATGTTTAATATAACAATATATACATTTATAAAAACTAGTTGATAATAACCATCACCACTAAAATCCAAAGACATCATAAAATTCTTTATACTATTTCTTTTTAAGGGCATTAACTTTTTTATCGCAACATAATAAATTACTGCAGTATAAATTACTTTGATTTGAGTTGAATTTATTAAACTAGCTCTATTAACATAAACAATGTTATTATGGAATGTTTATTTTTAATATTAAATAATTAGTTTAATACAATTTTATAAATATTTAAAACAAACTAATTTTTTTCTTTTCATGACATTCGTATAAATGAATTAAAATATGTTGAATTTTTTTATTGTTATTATTTTTAAATTTGTAATAGTGACTTTGCAACATTTGTAATGATTTTTTATTTTATAAATATTAGCAAATAACAAATAATAAATATAACTTTCTACAAAAATAAAAACTTTATTTATTGTGAAATTTTTTTTTTTTTAGGTTTTCAACTAAATTACCATATAGTAAACAACAAGGGTTAATATTTGACCGGGGCTGGGTTTGATAAAATATAGCCAGAGCCAGGATTATGACCGGGGTTTCATAAACATTTGTACATCCTAAAGTACTTTCTTTTTCTTCAAATTGTATGTTTTTATATATATGCATTTATAAACATCATTATAAACAAAATGATCATTATCATCATCATTATGATCATCGCCATCATTATCATTATCATCAGGCTTTAGCCTTCCTCTTTTTTGCTGTTTCTCTAATCATGGTTACTGCTTAAACGAGCTATCATCTCTATTACAATAAACCAAGACTCATTCTTGCTTGGTTTCTTATTCAACAAGTTGCACCTGTTTACTGAATCTGTCCCTATTTATTAAATACTAGCATAAATAGATGCCAGAATTTAAAATATAGTAAATAAAAGTATAAAATTAAAATATATAAAGAAATATTTATTTCTAGCCCTGACTATCAACCCCTGCTAAACCTTATAACTTTGCCGGGGCCAGATTTGCAAAAAGTCTCACTTTTAGGCAGAACCTGGTCACTTACTATTACCATATATATATATATATATATAGACACACACACACACACACACACACACACACACACACACACACACACACATATTAGGCAGTTACAGAAAGAGCATGCGGTCAGACGCTTAGTCTATCCATGCATAAAATATTTACCTAAGACAATTTGGCCGCTGCTGTTTGCATGTTCCGACAATTAAAGTGTTATAAAAATGGGGTGAAAGTACTAGGCTGAATTAAAAGCAAACTAAAAAAAAAACACAGTACTAAAGATTTTTAAAGAAATCAAAAATTAATAATAAAAAAAACAACATGTAAAAGCTTTAAAAAAGTCTTTAGAAAAAATCAAAGTTATAAAGTTATGTATTCTAAACGTAATTATAAACGCTATTTACTATGAACAAACCTTTATTCAAAAAAATAATCATTTCTTTAAAAAGAAAAAACTTGATTTATTAAACAAAGAATAAATTTAAATAAACATTATTATAAAACATTGATCAAAAGTAGTTTGTTATTTAAAAGAATTTTGGGTAATATAAAGTTGTTGGAAAAAATCTTTTAAAGTTGCTTATTCCAAACATAGATGATAAACATTTAAAATAACTTTTTTTTAGACTTAAAATTTTATTTAAGTTAAGTTTTAATTTTAATATTTTAAAATTTTAGTTGATTTTTTTTATCTTCCCATTGGTTAATTGTTATTTTTATTTTTTTTAGTTTGTTTAAGCTTAATTTTGTTTTAAATTTCAAAACATGCTAAGAGTCATGGTCAAGTTGTTTTAGAAAAATAATTTGTTTTAAAAAAAGCGCCTGACTTCATGTGCGTCCTGTAACAGCTTGATATATATATATATATATATATATATATATATATATATATATATATATATATATATATATATATATATATATATATATATATATATAGCTTTTACTGAAAAATACACCAATACATTCTTTTTCTTATGAAAATAGTTTATCATAAAAAAGAGAAAAAACTTGTTTATTAATGAAGGTTAAATAAACAACATGACACTAAATACTACAAGTATTAAAAACTAATTTTTTAAATTGCATAAAGTTCAACAATTTAAAAAACCAACAGCTTTTTCAAAATTAAAATCAAGAACAACAAAAGAAAAAATTAGAAACATAACTTTAAAACGAACATTTACCTTCAAACCTCTAAATAAATCTTTTATATCATTCTCTGTTACATCAAATGGAAGATTACCAAGAAAAGCTGTATATGGAGGTTTGCTAGGTAACCTTGACATATCTATTTCCACACCAAGAGATGAACGTGGAGCACTTGGTAATTTAGATATATCAACTACTGGTTTAGCAGATCGAGGTGGTCCACCATACTCTTCTGCCACTAAAAAATATATATTTAGCTATAATTAAAAAAAAAGATAACACTTCTATAAAAAAAACTATAAAGGATTTATTATCCTATAGCAAGCCTTTTCGTAATAGGCTTGCATGTCTTATATGACCTTGGATATAATATTTTGTTTTGACAACTTGCCCACAGCTCTTTTGATAATGAGTTTAAAAAATGCACTGAAAAATCTAAGTATACTTAAACTTAAATTAAATGTGTTTCACTTCATAGAATTAAGAAAATATCGTAGTTTTAAAGTTATTTAATCAAAGCTTAATTACTTTGAAACTTTATAATTTAAAAATATGATACTTTGATCATTTTTAATGTATATGATACAATATGAAATATTTCAAATAATGAAAAAAGTAGTTGTGAAGACGTCAGTACAAACACAACTGACTATCTAGTAAGAACATGCAAGAGAATGCCACTACAGGCCTTGTTTTAAAGTATTAAGCTGCCAGCAATTTACGTAGGCGTAAAGCAATTTTACATACACCTAGAGCAATTTTTGTTAAGCGACTTTTTAACTTTATAGCGGCAAGATAAAAGAAGCAGTTAATTTTATTAAAAACCACATTAACTTTTGAATGACTATTATAAAAAAAGTTTTTTCACAAAAGTTTAAATGACACTTATGTTAGATAAAAGTGCTATTTACCAATGAAAAAAATTCAAATAAAATAAAAAACTACAACTCTCTATTAATTAATTATTTTATCAAAATATTTAGAAACAGAAAACAAAATCGTTTACAGTTAACAACAAATTTTATATATACAGGGCTTAATTTAATGGTCGGACATTGGACATTGTTCAACTAAAACCTCAGATTGTCTAATCAATTTACAAAGTAAATTGACCACACAAATGATTTTTTATGTTTACATAAAAGACCACACAAATGATTTTTTATGTTTACAACTTGACCACAACTGTTTAGATGTTTTGACAATTTAAACATTTCAGAAATGCGCTGGAAAAAGAAACGTTGAAAAAAGCTAAACTTAAGCAAAAAAATTCAAAAAACTAAAGAATAAGCAAAACGAAAAAGAAAATAAATTAGCTTAAAGAAAATAAAACTAAAAAAACTCGAAGTTAAAATTACTTTTTGTTAAGTTTTTATAATTGCATTTGAAAAAGATTACTTTAAAACTTATATTTAAAACGTTTAATTAAAGTTATGCAAAACGCTTTTACAAATTACATCTATTGATTCTTTAATAAATAAACAAATTTTATTAAAATTTTTGAAAAGTGAAATTAAATTATTGAAAAGAAAAAAATATAATATTTTTAAGTATTATAAACATTTTTTCAAAAAGTTGCCAAAAAAAAATTCTTTAAAAAAAATAACGTAGTCATTTTTAAAATAGCAATTTTAAATCATTCAAGTTTTAATTATTAAGTCAAGTTAAAAAAAAAACTTTTCAACAATTCTTTGTAAAAATCAGGGTTGGCATTGAAAAACCCGCCCAATAAAACCTGAGCAATCTGGGTTTTATTGGGTTTTTTTAAAGATATTTTATAATTTTAAGAACTATTATAACCAATATTTCTGAAAACATAAACATATTATACTAGCTAGCTATAAAAGAAAATTTTTCAATTCAAATACAATATTTTTAATAAAAAGATTTTTTTCATAATTATATTTTCGGAAACCAAATTGAAAGATTCATTTAATAAGATTTTTTAGGACAAATACACTTTGATAAAAGTTATTTATGACATATTTTTTACAAAACCAACTATTTTTGATACTGACTATATTTTTGTAGACGCTTTTTTGTCTTTTCACTTCTTTCATATTTTATTTCTAACTTTTGACTAAATAAAACCAAACTAGGAAAATACTCTTTTAATTGATCTAGAATTAAATTTGCAAAAGCCTGCAGACAATTTTTTCTGAACCGATATCTTGTTTCTTGGTTAATGATAGGCCACTAATCACTGCACAATATTGTTGATATAACTTTATCACTTAACATCTTAGAAAAAACATTACTTTACTTTAAGCAAAAACAACCAAGGTGCAAAACCAGGATAATGATTGCAAAGCCATTATCTACCTCGTCTTTATTTTTAATCATTAGGTTTTTACCAATAAAAAAAAAAAAAATTTATTATTATTTTTCCTTTAGGTCTATGAAAACGTATTTTTTAAAACTTTAATTTAAAAAAGTTAAACTAAATTCTTAAAATAGTTAAATTAAATTCTAAAACAACACAAATTTTTTTGAGTTGGATTTGAAGATTTTTTGAGTTGGATTTGAAGAATAGCTTTAGACAAACATACAATTGCTTTACATTTACCTAAATTGCAGAAACACTTTAAAAACAAGGCTTGATTTATAAAAAAGCATAGGTGTAATTGATTTGCACACTTCACAATGAAGTTAAAAAATCTTTTAAATTAAAAACAAAAATTTTTTATATACACCAAGCAATATAGAAGTAAAAAAAATGCCTAACAAGATTAACAAATTAATTTAAAAAAACAACAAATTCTATAAATTAATCCAGACTTTGATAGTAATGATCTAGCAAAAAAGAAATGCACTCTAACAGTTGTAAACTCTGAGTTGTAAACTCTGAGTTGTAAAAAGTTGTAAACTCTGTAAACATTGTAAACTCTGTAAAAGTTGTAAACTCAAAAAAGTTATAAACTCTTGTAAAAAGTTGTAAACTCTAAGTTGTAAAAAAAGACAACAAACCTATATGCTAGTATACACACTATTGGACTGTTATAATTTTTTTATAAATTAAAATACTTACACACAACTGCATCAGAATCATCATCCTGATCAGCCCAATTTTTTCTCGGGGGTATAAAAGATTTGTTAGGATCCTCAGACTTTAAAAAATCATTTATATTTAATGTTATGCCTTTCTTTTTCTTGCCTTTTTTGCCACCACCTAAATAAAGAAAGCAATTATCAATTTGAAATACCTTTCTTAAAGTTTCTTAGGTTTAAATTTCTTTAGGCAAAATTTTGTAAACAATTTATATAAGCGTTCAAAACTAATAATAAACTAATAAAAGCAGGACTAGAATTAACTAATCGCGAATTGCCAATATCTGAAAACATTTCTGGTCTTTAAATTTTTAGCTTTTTAAAAACCATAAACTCTGTTTTTATCACTAAACTCAATTGCTATTAGCCAAAGAAAAGTTTTAATATTGATTTTTAATTATAAAACCGTATTACTACTATTTAATAATAATAATAATAATAATAATAATAATAATAATATTATTAAAAATGGTGATTTTAATTTTGATATTTTAATTCATTTTATAAATCATAAGATAAAAGTAGAAAAATAAAGCACACAGAATGATAAAAAACAACCGCAAATCACAACAGTCTAAAGGAATTTGGGAGTGACCAAATATAATAATTAAAAGAAATCGCAAAATAAGATGTGAAATACTTTTATATTTTATTTAAATCTTATTCAATGTTTTCTTATTAATTAAATACTCATAACTCTTTTTAAAACTAATTTAAACTTTTATAATTATTTTAAAACAAAACAAAAAAAACTCTAATAGCTTATTTTAAAAAATATTTTTTATTTTTATTACTTTTATTATCAATTAATAATATCAAATTTAAAACATTTAAATTTTTAAACAAATAATTTCTCAAAGTTTCCCCCTGAACAAAAATCAATTTTAATGTTTCATAAAATGCATAAATAGCTTTAGTATAATTTTATATTGGTTGAGTTTAAAATTACAGCACAAATTTTTTAGACCTCTAGTAAATCTTTTTTTCCTTTACCTTTTAATTTCATTTATATTACTTGTTTAAACAAACAAGTAATTTTATTTGTAGTAAATTTATTTATTTTTTTTTTTTTCATTAGTTAAACATAAAAACGTTTTTTAATAAACTGAGAACTTGTTGAGCAGATATATTTCTAGATATTGGAATTCATGATCACTTAATTCAAGCCTTGAAAAGCTTTTTATATTGTTGTAATTTGATATACAAATTATACACAATTTGATATATGTAATAGATATGCATATATATATACCGGAACAGGTGAGAATCTTTACCAATATAATATTAGTTTATTTAGAAGGAAAAAAAATAATAACATAAAACTTCCACTTTAATAAAATTTTAAAAAAAGTATGTTTTGTGTTCATGTAGTTTTCAGTTAGTTTAAGATGCTTCAAGCTTAATATCTCACAGGACAAATACATATATAATGCAGTTTTCTCTATTTAGCCAGCGCTTTTGTGTTTAAGTCTTTTCACGCTTACTTACACCAGGCTATCACAGGAAGGCGTGCCATCGCACATCTTTATATGACCACGGAAAAAATGTTTTAACGATTTGAACACGGCTTTAGACATATTTTCAAAATTTAAAAATGCGCTACAAAAACTTACTTAAACATATCTAAAAAAAAAAAATTGTAAAAAGAAAAAAAATCTTAATGAAAGAGAAAATTAAAAAAATACTTAGTAAAAGCAAAAACACAAAAAATAAATATTATAACCCAACTGAAACGAAACTCATCAAACTAAAATGCTTAGTTTTTTTTACGCATTAAAAAACCATTTTAATCTTTGTTTTAACATTTGCACTTTTTTATTTATTTATTTAATGTTTCAAAAGATAAACATTTCTCATAAAAAATACCTAATTATAAAATAAAATAAAAACAACAGTTTATTATTACTTATTTTAAAAAATTAATTAGTGTTTTGTTTCTTCATTGAAAAGCATTTCGATAATATAAAAGAATTCAATTTCAAACATATTTAATTGTTACGGCTTTCTCAAACTTTTTTTTTCTTCAACAAAATTTTGTTTATCTTTTTAAATGCATGAACTTTAATTATTCTTATATTAAAATTTGTTTATTAAAAAGAGGCTTTTGTAATCGTTGAATGAGATTGTTTATAAAAACAAAACAATTTTTTATTTTTTATAACGTTTATGATAGAAATGCATACTTAAATAATTTATATATTATAAATTAAAAAAATACAATTGTCAATTATATTAAAAAAAAAAAAAACATCAGTAAATTGTTACTTTATTTAAAAGCATTTCACTAATATAAAAACATTTGTTAAGAAGTTTTGGTATAATTAAATTCATGTTTTCAGAATATTTTTCATTTAGCGCATTTTTAAAATGCTTTTTGAAATAGCCGCGATCAAATCGTCATAGCAAAATGTAATTTGCCTGGTTATATAAAGATAAAGAAAGCCTCTGACGCAGGCTTGGTTGGGAAGCGAGAGCGATTGCTCTCAATAACTGATCACGGAAATAATATATAGTTAAGAAAAAATGGCCAGATTTTTTAGTCATTTTGAGATTATTTCAAAAAACAAAAAAAAAAAGAGCGAAAAATATTATTTGGACCCATGAGACAATTACAAAAAAACTAGGAAAAGAAAATAACTTTTAACACAAAAAAACTTGAAGCAAAATAAATTACGTTTAGAACAAATATATTCGAAACATTGCTCTTTTACAATTTTTTTATAAAATTAAGCAACATTTTTTATATTAAGTAACATCTTACAATTGGTTAATAAGAGAACAATTGTTCTTTTATTTATTAAAGAGTTTAATACTATTTTTACTTATATACTTGTGTCTTATTTCCAGTGCTGAATTAAAAAGGGTTGGAAATAAAGGGGGCTATAGTCCCAGGCCCCGCAATGTTAGGGGCCCCAAAAAAGTCAAGACCTTTTTTAAAGCCATTTTTACGCTGTAACACAAAAAAAGGCCTTCAAAATAAAAATAGCCCTGGGCCCTGAAAAGTCTAACAAGATTTTAACAAAACTAACGCTTGTTTTAGTTTTATTTCAACTAAATTATTTTGTAAATAAAAAAGTTAATTTTTTAAATAACTATTTTATATTTTGCGTAGTTTGAAAATTTTCACATATTTGAAACAATTCTTCTTAGTAAGATGAACAAATGAAATAATTAAATCATTGAGTTAGTGTAAAAATTAAATTAACTAGATAGAAATCAACTAAAAAGGTTAAAAATAGTTTATGAAGAGGAAGTGAAACTGCTTCACAATATCGTTAATGTTTAGTAAGTGGCTTATTAATTTTATTTAGTATTTAAAACAGAAAAAAGTAACTTTAAGTTTAAATATAATGAGTTAGTAAGAATGGCAACAAAGCAAAAATAATTAGAGCTAATAAACCAATATCTAAAAACTTAAAAAACTTTTCTTTATATCTAATTACTGTCTATATATATATATATATATATATATATATATATATATATATATATATATATATATATATATATATATATATATATATATATATATATATATATATATGTAACTTAATGTAGGTTTATATATGTAACTTAATGTAGGTTTATTTCATAATTAGTTTTATTAACTTTTAAGTTACATATATATATATATATATATATATATATATATATATATATATATGTAACTTAATGTAGGTATATATATGTAACTTAATGTAGGTTTATTTCATAATTAGTTTTATTAACTTTGATAATTATTAACAATTTCATCGAACCACAATTATTGTTGAAAGTCTTCGTTTACAAAATAAATCGTAAAAATTGCTTTAAAAGATTACATTAGAATAAAAAACAGATACACAAAATTACATTTACATAAAAAATACATACTTTTTAAATAAAAAATAAGAATATACTATTAAAATCAATAATATATAATAAAATAATCAAAATTTTGACTATTTAAAAAATATATATTTATATTTAAAACATTTACTTTTCTAAACAAATAATAATAGTTTAAAAGATTTACGTCTTTGCAGATGTGCGAGAGTCATTAAAGTCAGATTAAAGTAATAGCTCATTTGATAGTATATTTTTAAAACAATTTATGTTAGAAATCTCAAAACTTAATGAATTTCGAATACAATTTTTTAAACAATTTAACAAAATACTGTATAACTGTATTTGTTTAATGTATACTGTACTTGTACTTGTTTACTGTATACTGTATTTGTTTCGCTTAGTCAGCATATTTTTTGAACCAATAGAATTAGTTTGTTTGAAGATTTGGCGGGTTTTTAGTGTTGGCAAATATTCTTTTTATTCTTCTGTGCCAAGACGTTATGAGAACATACAAGTTTATATATGTTTCCATGTAAAAAAAAATTGTTTTAGATACATACATTAACTTAAATGTTCTCAAACCAACTACAAAACCTGGCAAGTTTTTCGCAACTAAATGATATTTCTGTGGTCAGTAATCGAGACCAATTGCTCTCCTTTGTCACAATTATTTTTTTATAACCTTATAAAGTATAAACAATTGAGACGTAACTTAACGTAACTCAATCTAGATTTGAGACGTAACTAAAATACGTCTCAAGCATATATTATTTTAAAATTATGTCACGTCTCAATTAGTTATTCTTTTTAAAAAAAAATATGACATGTAAGGTTAAAAAAAAAACATTTTAATAACGTTTCAATCTAAGAATTGAAATGTAATTAAAATATATAACATATTTTATTTACGTTTCAATTCTTAAATGTTTTACATTTCGCTATGTCTCGGTTGGTTATACTTTTAAAGGTAATAAGTACCTTAGATTGCCTAAGTACCATAAGTTATTTTAACTTTTAAATAAACTTTATTTTTTTTAGGTAAATACAACTTTTAAAGCCTTAAAAGTTGTTTTTACCTTTAGGAAGTCTTTTTTAAAAATAAACCCACAAGCATCAGGCTTAGACAGGAATGGCATGCGATCGCACTGTAACAGACCACGCGATTAGTTTTATCTTTACAACTTGACCACAGCTATTTTGATGTTTTAACAATTTAAATACAATAAAAAGTGTTACATTATGAATAACTTTTAATCGTTGATCTTTTCTAAAGTTTTTATTTTATGCGAAGTC